TTATCCAGTTCCTCAAAGCCCTCAAAGCTGGACCATTTACACTTCCTTCTTCATTTATTGTTATTGTTACTAATCTTTGTGACAATAACACGTTAAAAGGTGCTTTCGTTTAATCCTCATGACAACCCCATTTCACCAATGAAGTAACTGAGGCTCAGAGAGGTTAAGCAGCTGCCTCAGGACTCCTGGTGCCTTTCTATTCATCATGAGCTTTGAGCCCTTGCAGGGAAAAAGGCGGGTGTTGCCATGCTCCGGGGACTAACAGTTGCCCATGTGAAAAGCTGAATCAGGATGTGAAGAACTGCGTGCCTGAGAGCCCAGGAGTAGACGGGGCCAAAGCCTCTGTGGGTTGGTGGGTTCAGGCTTTGCCGATGAGGGTGAGGAGATGGTCGTAGGAGGAAATGCAGGTTTGGGGAAAGGGGTTCAGGGTAACTGTTAGAGGGCAGTGTCTGAACGCTCACATTTTCTAGGGCGCGTGGGAACTCTAAAGATCTTTAGTCTCCCCCTTCCTGAGCCTGATTCTTCAGCAGTGTCTTTGCCTCCTTCCCTCTGTACACCGTACCTAGTCAGGTCTGACACAAGGTGCAAGCAGGTGCCTGGGGAGTGGACAGGCCGGTGACAGGGTGGCCTGGGGGAGGGCACGGTCACCCCAGCCAGATGGCCACTGCTGCCATGGTAGACAGAAATTCCAGCCAGAGGGTGAGAATTGACCCTGTACCTCCCCAGCGTGACCCTGGGCCAGTCACCTCCAAGTGTCTTTCCCTGAGCCTTGATCTGGCATTTGTAAAGTGAGCACTAGATGTCCTGGGCGGGTTAAGATCAAATGAGCTGGAGCACGTGACAGCTGGGTGGCTGGGGAGCAAGAGGCGAGAGCGGGGCACATGGTCGAGGCCCGGCTGGCCAGTCGGTCACCAGCTGCCCTGAGCTGGGTGCAGAGGAGGGCAGGTGACAGAAAACAGGAGGGGCTCCCAAGGGAGGGGCTGGGGGTAATGGGAAAGGTCAGGGGCAGGTCAGGGGTAGGAGGCAGGCCAGGCAAGGAGCAGTTTGGCTTTGATAGAACACAGGCCTAAAGCTTGGCTTGGGGCGTGGAGGGTCTTAGGACTCTGGTGCCAACAGGAGCCCCCTCCTCAGGCGCCTGGGGTGCAGAGATCCTGGGGACTGAGGGGTTTGCCTGTCAACCTTCAGACATGGGGTGTCTCCCTGTGCTCCCACATAATCAGGCCAGGTTAGGCAAACCCACCCAGCTATCTGGTCTCCCTCCCTTCACTCCCACTGCCTTTGGTAGGTACAGGAAGTAAGAGGACAAAAGGGGGACAAAAAGGACCTGGTGTCTACTCTCCTATCAGTCCGGGCTTTCCCCGAGCGAGGGTCAGCTTTCTCTGCACAAAGAGGGGTGAGGCCAGATGGGTTAGCTCGCTGATTTCCTGAGTGGGGAAGATTCTGCAAGTGCTAGGGCCAACTCGCTAGAGTCCTCCAGGCCCAGGACGACCCCACCACACAAGCCAACCTCACAGCCTTGCCCCTGGGCTCATCTTACCCTTTTCAGTGGGATCTTCTGAGGCTCAGAGAGGTTGCTGGGTCATCCCTGAGGCTACACAGACTGAGAGAGTGGAATCAGGCTGCTCATTTGCATGGCCAATGTGGGGGTGGGGACAGGGGCTTATCAGTAGGGGGGTGTAGAAAGAACAAGCAAAATCAGACCTGAGGGCAGGGGAGTGCAGGCAGGGGATAGGCGGGAAAAGCAAAATTAGTCCAAGCCCAGGCAGGCGGGAAAAGCAAAATTAGTCCAAGCCCAGGCAGGGAGATGGATGGCAGGGATGGTCCCAGCTAAGGGTGGGGGGAGTATAGAGCTAGTCCAGGTTCAGGGACAGGGAGAGATCAGAGATGGTCTAGGCCAATGTGGCGAGAGGGAAACTGTGACTCCTTGTCCTTGAATTTTTATTTTGAGTCTGGTCAATGCTCTAGGGGCTCAGGACAGAGCTTGGAACCCCAGTCAGCCTGGAATGGGGTGAGTCAGTGTCCTTGGGGCTCAGAGGGCTATCTACCCAGGCTCTGGCCCTCTACCCCACCTCACCCGCTTTCCCAGGGCCTCTCATGGACACTGGGCCATTTTAAATCTTATCTCACCTTTGAGGTGAGAAGGCCCTGGAAACTGACTCTCTAGGCTTGAATCCCAGCTCTACCATATCTTAGCTGTGTGACCTTAGGCAAGTTAGCTGTCCTCTCTGTGCCTCGGTTTCTCCATCTATCAGATGGGGATAACAGTAGCATCTATCCCACTGGGTCATCATGAAGATCAATTATGATAGTACTTGTAAAGCATTTAGAGCAGTGCTGGGCACATCACCTTTCAGTAGAGAGTAGAAATCTAGGTGGTTGATGGAGCCGGCTAGCACCAGGCTGTGGGGTTTCGTGACACTGAGGCTCCTTTCCATCCTGCACCCTGCTCCCCCCAAAAGAAAGGCACAAACAAATTCCTCACATCTGCACAGCCCAGTGGTGGGACCCTCATCTGGGAGCCTGGATTTAAGTCTTCTTAAATGGACGGAGGTGGGAAGAAGGCTCCAGTCCTTCTTAGTCCTCTCCTGTGCTCCCTCATCTTTTTTAGGACCTGAAGCTTGGGATGGGGACATGGGAGCTGAGAAGGCCAACACCTCCTCAAGCCAAACTCTCCTGTCCCTTCTTTTGGGGTGGCTTTCCCTCCCTGCGACCCACCATAGTTGCTGGGCACCCAGGCCAGGGAGGGCAGCCATCTTGCTCAGGCCTAGTACGTTGCCACGACAACCTGGATCCTCCCAGCCCCACTGCAAAGGCCCCTTTGAAAAATTTATCAGGAAAACTTCCTTGTTTAAAAATTAAATGGGACTGAAATATTAAAGATGAGCTGCTTTGGGCGAGGCAGAGGGCGATGGACTTGGGGGTAGAGGAGCCAAGTTCTTTCTTCCCGACAGAATGGCATCTGCCCATGGCCGCAGCTTCCAGGGGCTTCACGATCAATTCCAACGCACTCTACCCCTGTCTGCAGAGTCCGAGGCCTCCTCTTTAAGTTGCGGCTGGGGCCAGGGTACAGGGATAGGAAGGAAGGCACCTGTTTTAGCAGGCTCCTGGAGTCACACTGCACCCCATCTCCTTTTTGGCCTTTTCGCATACTACTTCTTAGGGCCTCCCTTAAGTCCAACAGCAAGATGGGCCTGGCCTGAGGCATCGGGCGGGCCGAGCTGCCCCTCTCCATTCCTGCTGCTCCCGGAGACTGGCACCAGAGAGGCTGGGCTGGCACCTGCCCCCCTCGCTGCTCACTGTGCCCTGACCCTCACCCCTGGGAGAGGAACAGGGTCTTGGAGAAAGATGAGTTCATGTAAAGCATCTTCTCCCAAATCGATGGTCTCCAGCTGCTGGGCTGGGCCCTGCCCTCCCCAGGAGTTTCCGGAGTTTCCCGGATTCCCCAATTCCCACCTTCAGGCTTCCCCAGATTGACTCCCCTCTGCTCTTTCCCCACCCCCCAGCCTGTCCACCTTGCCCAGGTGAGTTTCGTCATCCCAGCCTTCGACTCCAACTTCACTCTGGACCTGGAGCTAAACCAGTGAGTGTGGTCTTGAGCCTAGGGGGAAGGGCTACAGGTGGGAGGGTGGGCAAGGCAGGGCCTGGAGGGTGGACTAGGCTGGGGCAGGGGACCCGGGTCTGAGCCAGGGAGGAGGGGGGACAAGCCTGGCTCATCCCCACCAGTGACCCCTCCTTCTTCCTCTCTGTCTCAGTCACCTGCTCTCCTCACAATATGTGGAACGCCATTTCAGCCGGGAGGGGAGAACCCAGCACAGCACCGTGAGTGCCTTCGGAAGGGGACAGGGGAGGTGGAATGAAGGGACAGGTGGCCATACCTTACACTTGGGATGGGCCTGGACCCTCCGGACCCTCCATCTCTCCCCACCTTGGAGGCTTTGAGGGTCGGAGTCGGGGTGGCATGTGGAATGGCACGGAGCCCTGAGCTCCCCTCACCTTTCTCCAGAGGCCTGACCCCAGCTAGCCTCTCTGCCTGGCATGGAGGCACTCAAGTACCCTTACTGCTCCATGCTCAGACATTCTGGGAGGGGCAGTGATGAAAATGCCCTCTTACTCAGCATCAAGCCCCTCGGACTTCTTGGCTGCCTGGGACACAAGGGTCCCAGCTGTGGAGGCCCAGCGGCCCAGGAAAGATGAATGAGTGTCTATAAATAGCCCCCCCCACCACCACCCAGCCTGTTCAGTAACTGGGGCACAAGTAATTCTGCAGGAAGCAGAGGGGAGGGGGTGCTGGTTCCCTCTGACCCATGAGCTGGGCTAGGAGAACATGTGCTGCTCACAGTTCCTCAGCCACAGACCACCCATCCAGGGGTGTCCATGGAGGTAGTGGTGTCTGTGAACAAACATTGTGTGAAATTGCATGTGCATGTTGGGGGTGAGCCCATAGCCTTCATCTGATTAAGTGAGCTAATCCATGGTAAATGCTTAGAACAGTGTGTAGCACATAGTAGGTGCCATATGAATGCTAGCTATTCTTCTCAAAGGAGCCTGGGATCCCTGCACCAGACCCAACAAATGGTTAAGAACCACTAATGCAGTCCAATGTCCTCATTTTCTAAGTGAGGTGGAGGAGGTCCAGAGAGGGCTAGGAACTTCCCCAGGGTAAAACAGCAAATTAGGAGCACAATCAGAGTAAAGCCAGGCTGCAGATTTCCAGGTGTACCCAGGACTGCAGCCACCTGCCTATGGGGTGACCTCAGAGGCCCTCACCCATCATGCTGCCTTCATGCTGTTGTGTGGGGCATGTTTGCTCACATTCTGCTGTTCCTCCAGAGGGCTGGAGACCACTGCTACTACCAGGGGAAGCTCCGAGGGAACCCCCGCTCCTTTGTTGCCCTCTCCACCTGCCAGGGGCTGCAGTGAGTATGGGGAGGGGCTGGACGGCTGGGAAAAGCCTCCAGCCCCAGGCCTGGGGACTGTGGGAAGCACCTCTTTTTCTGCAGTGGGGTCTTCTCTGATGGAAACTTCACCTACATCGTGGAGCCGCGAGAGGTGGCTGGGCCTCGGGAAGCCACCCAGGTGAGCCTTCATGGTCCCCTCTGACAGTCCTGCTCATCCTGATGGCTGTCACTGCCTCCTCCTCCTCCCTTGGTAACCTCAGCCTCACTGCCCTCCTCAGTGACCCCAGCTCTGGTTCCCTCCCCTTGTGCCCCCAGCTCCAATGTCCCCCCTGTCCCCCAAGTAACCTCTCATTGGGCTCCAGTGTCCTTTGCCCCTATCTCTCAGGGCGCCCCCAGATCTTGACCCCGGAATCTGAGCATCTGGGAGATCAGATCCGACATGGGAGCTCTGGGCAGTTCTGGGTCATCCTGGGGTGGGGTGGGGGGAAGGACTGGAGCCGTTCCTCCCATAGCTGGTCTCAGAACACACCTGATAAGCTCCCCAAGAACTAACTTCCCCTCGTTGCAGGGACCCCTTCCCCACCTCATTTATCGGACCCCTCTCCTCCCAGCCCCTCTCGGATGCAGGGAACCAGGTAAGGGAGGGAAAGTGGGACTGTGGGGAGGGGGGGCTGGTTGTACCCCTCCCTCACCTGCCCTTTTCCAAACCAGGCTGCCTGTTCACTGCCCCTGTCCATTCTGCTCCTCTGAATCGGCCGAGGCTGAGAAGGAAAAGGCAGGTACGGGGCCCGCACAGACCTCGGGCTGCAGAGACCTCAGGCTGTGGTCCAGAGCAGGAGGACACCCCCATCCATGGCTGGGGCAAAGGAAGGAAGGCTCTAACGGATGTGGCTGGGGGCCAGGGAACCATCTCTGGGAGGAAGCACCCCACCCTATTCCCTGATGCTGATGTCTACATATGTCCCCATGGTGGGCTAACAGGAGCTGCCTACCCTAGTACCAAGGCTGGGGAGGGATGGGACACCCGCCAGTGAGGGGCTGGCAGTGTTCCTGGCTGGAGTCCGTCCCCCCCAATCTGCCCACGGCTTGGCCACAATGCCAGGCATGGAGGGGACTGATTCCAAGTGCTCACCCACCCCCCAGGTCCGCCGGGGCCACCCTACAGTGCACAGTGAGACGAAGTACGTGGAGCTGATTGTTATCAATGACCACCAGCTGGTAAGTTCCCAGGCGAGGGGCGACTCTGGGAGGAGAGGCTGGAAGCAGCCTTGCCCCCTACCCATTCTTCTCCCAGTTTGAGCAGATGCGACAGTCGGTGGTCCTCACCAGCAACTTTGCCAAGTCTGTGGTGAACCTGGCAGATGTGGTGAGCAGCCCTCCCTTCTTCTCCCTCTCCCCCCAAGCTCCCACCCAGCCACACACATCCTTGGGGTGAGCTCTTGAGGGCACTATCAGCCACTGACCCCCACTTCCTAGAGGTATAGACTCCAGCCCTATCCCCCCACACCTACTCCCACCCTCCAGCCTTCTCCCCATCTTCTCCCATTCGGGCCCAGATGTACAAGGAGCAGCTCAATACCCGAATCGTGCTGGTTGCCATGGAAACGTGGGCAGATGGGGACAAGATCAAGGTGCAGGATGACCTTCTAGAGACCCTGGCCCGGCTCATGGTCTACCGGCGGGAAGGCCTGCCTGAGCCCAGCGATGCCACCCACCTCTTCTCGTGAGCCCCCCACCCCATGCATCCTGCCAGCCTCTGCAGGGTTATTGAACACCTGCTCTGCGTCAGGTGCTCTCAGGGTTTGGGACTGGGCTTACCTTGCACCTGCCCCCAGCCACTTGCCAGAGGCTGGGCATCCTCCCCTGCATTGTAAGCTGATGCTCCTTTCCCCCCAGTCACCTGTGCCACCACCTCTGCCCATCACCTCCCCTTTGTCCCCTCTTCTCCTTTCAAACTGCCCCAGCATCCCTTTCTCATAGGGGAAAAAAATATCTGATACAAGGTCCTTGCAATTAGAGATAATCTAATAGGAACCTGTCATTTAACTTATGGGCAAATGAACCCAAAGAATGGAAGACGCTTGCCTGAGGTCACACAGGCTGATGTGAAGGGCAGTACTCACCTCCCCAAGGAAGGGCTGTAGTGGGGGAGGCTCCCATCTCCCCTCACAGCCCAGGGGAGCCACTATGGGTAGAGCAGGAGGTTTTCCTGACAACCCTTTCCCTTCCAGGGGCAGGACTTTCCAGAGCACCAGTAGCGGGGCTGCCTATGTGGGGGGCATCTGCTCTCTGTCCAGGGGTGGGGGTGTGAACGAGGTGAGCAGTGTCGGGGCATGGCTGGGGTGGGGTCGAGAGGGGCTGTTCCTTTTGGAAGGATGTAGACATCGTTGTGTTCCATCTTCCCCACCCCAAGTACGACAACATGGGGGCCATGGCGGTGACCCTGGCCCAGACGCTGGGGCAGAACCTGGGCATGATGTGGAATAAACACCGGAGCTCAGCAGGTATCAGTAAAGACACCATGTGGCCCCACAACCAACCCAGACTCATACCCAGCAGCTCCAGAAGAGAAGGGGGTGTCTGTGGGAGGGGGTGGTCACCTACTCTCCCTTATATCCACCTGGCTCACCTCTCAGGGGACTGCAAGTGTCCGGACAACTGGCTAGGCTGCATCATGGAGGATACTGGGTGAGTTCTTGGGGACAAATGGGGGGAGGATTTGGGTGAGGAGAGTCCCAGAGCAAGCACTGGCAGTCTGGACCCGGTGGCCCCCAGAGGCCCAGCTCTCAGAATTCCAAGAAGCCTGGTTTTCTGCGGGACTCTGCACAGGGTGACCCGGATTCCCCGGCGGGACGCCCAAACTGACAAGACTGTCGTGCACACTGTCGCCACTGGGCGCCGCCAAAGCCCCGTTTGGAGGCACCTTCCCTCCTTAGCACTCCAACCTCTGACTCTCGGAGTCCTGAGGTTGCAGGAAGGGGACCAGAGCGACGTCCCCAGCTCACTCCTGCTTGATGGGCAGGCAAGAGGATTCTTGTGCAGTCTCCGGGCACATAGATCCTCAGCCTCCTCGACGGGGTGCCCGAGTCCCTGGTGAAGCCATCCCCAATCTTGAGAAGGGACGAGAAAGTGGACTGGAGGGGAGAGCGCGCGGGCCGGGACCCAGCGGCATCGTCCCCTCACCCCTACCCAGGTTCTACCTGCCCCGCAAGTTCTCGCGCTGCAGCATCGACGAGTACAACCAGTTTCTGCAGGAGGGCGGCGGGAGCTGCCTTTTCAACAAGCCCCTCAAGGTACCAGACCCAAGGCGTGGAATCTGGGAACAGAGCTTGGGTCGGGTTTGGGTCAGACTCCCGACACTCCTTCTCCATCCAGCTCCTGGACCCCCCTGAGTGCGGAAATGGCTTTGTGGAGGCGGGGGAGGAGTGCGACTGCGGCTCGGTGCAGGTGAGCGACCAGTGCCAGGTGGGGACAGGGGACACGGAGGTGTGCGCGAGGGAGAGTCTGGATGGGGACGGTCGGGGCCCACCCGCCTCCCTCCCCTTCTTCCCGCGTCCCTCAGGAGTGCAGCCGCGCGGGCGGGAACTGTTGCAAGAAATGCACCCTGACTCACGATGCCATGTGCAGCGATGGGCTCTGCTGTCGCCGCTGCAAGGTGAGAGCGACCCGCTGCTGGAGCGGGCAGGAAGCGGGACCAAGAGAGATCCAACTGCTTGTGATCTGATAAGGGGCGGGGTTTAGGGAAGGGGAGTCGTTGGAGGCAGAGCAAATCTGGAGGGGCAGGGCTTGATGCGATGAAAGCGCCGATGAGGAAGAGAAGGGCGGGGCTACGAGGAGTGGGGCGGGGCACTGCAGAGAAGTGGTGGAAGGTGTGGAACCGAGAGCTGGCCGGGGAGCGTTGTCTGAGTGCGCAAAGAGCCGCCAGGGTCCGAGCCGATGGCGGGGCAGGGCCGAAGAGGCAGGAGGGCATGGGGTCCGAGGTCCCTGCCTGAGCCCTGAAACGCATCCCTTCCTCAGTACGAACCGCGGGGTGTGTCCTGTCGAGAGGCCGTGAACGAGTGCGACATCGCAGAGACCTGCACCGGGGACTCGAGCCAGGTCCGCCCCGCCCGGCCGCCCTAGGGAGCCAGGGGCGAGGCAATCCCTATCCCTATGGTTTGGACTCAGCTGGGCTAGCACTGTTCTCTACGTCCCTCCGCTGCTGGCGCCCCCGAAAACGATCAGCCTCAGTTTCCTCATGTGAGAATGGGGTTGTTCGTGCCTCCTGGCTTTGCTCCTTCAGTCGTACACCTGTATTTATAGCCTGGCTGGTGTCCCCAGCACTTGGCACAGTGCCTGGTGTGTGCTAGAGATCAGAGTGGATGATAATATTAGTAAACATCGCTTAAGTTCTTGTTACATGCTGGGCATTTAGTTCTCCCAGCCCTGTGAAGGAGGCGCAGGAAATGGAGACAGGAGAGGCTATGGGATGTGCCAGCCTGCGGGGTCTGAATTCCAGTTCAGGTCTCCTGTCCTTGACACGGAAGAGGTCTGAACATGAGACCCTACATGGGGTGCATTTGGCATCCCTTCATTCTGTCTTGGAGCCAGCCTCAGCTCTCAGTCCTGGCGCTGCTCTGCTCAGTCCAGCTCCTCTCTCCACAGTGTCCCCCTAACCTTCACAAGCTGGATGGTTACTACTGTGATCATGAACAGGTACGATGGGATAGGGGCTCTTCCCCCTCAAGGCTTCTGGCTCAGTACAGTCTATTGTCTCCACTCGGGCCAGTCAGTGTGTCAGCCCCTTGTCTCCTGTTTGTCCCTTAGGGCCGCTGCTATGGAGGTCGCTGCAAAACCCGGGACCGGCAGTGCCAAGCCCTTTGGGGCCATGGTGAGTCCCCATGGGGTGGGAGAGGGGACTCTGGAGGACCCAGAATCGAGAGGCTGGGAGGGGGCAGGTTCTGGCTAAACGGGTCCTCCACCAAATATGTGGCTCCCCAAGCTCTCAGGGACCCAGCCGGACTGGGGGTCAGCCAGAGTGTTAGAGGTGCAGACCTGAGGTCCTGGGGTGGGTTCTGGGGTGACACGTGGCATCATCTCCTTACAGTTGCTGCTGATCGCTTCTGCTATGAGAAGCTGAACGTGGAGGGAACAGAGCGTGGGAACTGCGGGCGCAAGGGGTCAGGCTGGGTCCAGTGTAATAAACAGTGAGTTGCCAAGGCTCCTGGTTGGGCCTCCCCAGCTCTGGGGCCAGGAGGGTTTTTTTCAGAGATGGAGCAGCATGTTCTTCTAGGCTGTGCCTGTGAGTGCTGATGGGAGAATATGTGGAAAATCAGGGTGTGGGGAAAGAGCAGATTCAAGTACTCAGACTTGGGCTCACTGCTTCTGTGCTGCCCCAACAGGGATGTGCTTTGTGGCTTCCTACTCTGCGTCAACATCTCTGGAGCTCCTCGGCTGGGGGACCTAGGAGGAGACATCAGCAGTGTCACCTTCTACCACCAGGGCAAGGAGCTGGACTGCAGGTGTTGGCTGGGACCATGGCTGGGGAAGGGGAGGTGGCAGCTGTGATGGAGTGGGGGGCATGGGCGAAGGCCAGCTGTCCCGTTTCCCCAGGGGTGGCCACGTGCAGCTGGCTGATGGCTCAGACCTGAGCTATGTGGAGGACGGCACTGCCTGTGGGCCCAACATGCTGTGCCGGGATCATCGCTGCCTGCCAGCCTCTGCCTTCAACTTCAGCACCTGCCCAGGCAGTGGGGAGCGCCGCGTCTGCTCCCACCACGGGGTAGATGCCTGAAGTCCGGGGACGGTGGGAGGGGCTTACAAGAGGGGCCAGGGCCCTGCTCACCTCAACTGCCCCCCACACACACACACCTCTAGGTCTGCAGCAATGACGGGAAGTGCATCTGTCAGCCAGACTGGACAGGCAAAGACTGCAGTATCCACAACCCCCTGCCCACGTCTCTGCCCACTGGGGAGACGGAGCGATATAAAGGTAAGGCTGGTGCTGGCCGGGGTGTGGGGCTCTGTCTTTCTCATTCTCCATGCCTAGCCCTGCCAACTGAGCCCTGCCCTCCTCCCCAGGTCCCAGCGGCACCAACATCATCATTGGCTCCATCGCCGGGGCTGTCCTGGTTGCGGCCATCGTCCTGGGCGGCACGGGCTGGGGATTTAAGTAAGAGACACACATGCTCCCTACACCCCCCTGGTGTCCTCGGGGATGATCAGAACTCCAGGATGTTGATGCTGAGGGGGCCTCCCTGCGAGATTAGCTACACCAGAGATCCAGGAGATTTTACATTAATAATGCTGATTTCCAGCTTCTCTTGAAAAATGAGAAGACTGGGCCGCACTGTGCCTCAGTGTGATCCAGCACCGCCAGAGAGGAGCTGGGCAGGGTTGCCCGAGACAGGGCCTGCAGCCTCCCTCCCTAGAACTCACCCCTCCTACGCTGTTCTGTGGGCTTCTGAGTGTGTGGCCCTGGAACTGGTCTAATCCCCTCAGTGTGCAAACAAGGGACCTGAGGCCCAGGATCACGCAGTGAATTAGTTGCAGAGTCAGAACTCAAACCCAGGTATCTCTCCCTGGGCCTGTCATCAGCATCTAGGCCACGGGGCCCCTGGCCTATCTCTGGGGCAAGGGGCCTCATGGGGACCAAAGGCCCTTTCCTGAGAGAAGGGGACAGTCACAGATGGCTCCTTTCCCTTTTCTCTTTGTCCTCTCCTTGGCTCCTGAAGAAACATCCGCCGAGGAAGGTACGACCCGACCCAGCAGGGGGCAGTGTGACGCCGCATCACCCCTCCCGCTGTACCTGTCTCCATCTCATTTGCCACCTCACATTCTGTTGATGGGGAGCTTGGAGCTGATTTCCCCATCCCCCACTGTCACTGCTGTCACCACAGGGGTGGGGGAACCCTGTCCGGGAAGAAAGTCCTCAGCTTGCCCTTGCTACTGCCTCTTGCCCACCCATCCGTCCCCTTAGGCCTTGGTCCATTTGCGCCTGCCCTTCCTGTGGCTGGACCACCCCTGGCAAAGGTAGGCCCTGGAGCTGTGCCCCCTACAGCCCTCATCTCCTGGGAAGGGATCCTACCTCTGCATCCCATCTGTTTCGTCTTTCATGTCACCGCTGCCTGACCTCCTGCCAGATCCCCTCCCTGGCCAGCCTGGGACTTGCCGCTTCCAGGGCCCAGCACGGACCTCTCAGGGCCTGGCTTGGGGGCTCTCCCTCTGGGCCCTGTCTCATATCCTCCCCTGATGCCCCCTCTCCGTTCCAGGTCTGGAGGGGCCTAAGTGCCACCCCCCTCCCTCCGAGCCTGGCGCCCACATCTCCGCCCTGAACCACAAGGCTGCCCCTGCCCAGCCACAGAGGGAGGCACCATGCAATGTCTTCTGGCCTAAGCCTTTTGACTCTTGGCCCCACAGGGGTTTGGGTGGGGGACTGTGACCCTGCCCTTTGCACCACCAGCGTGGACCAGGCCTGGGGCATTTCTCATGGTCCCCCACCCCACCTCATGCGGCTTTGGCCTTGCACACCAACTCTCCCTGTGTGAATGTAGCTTCCATCATCACAGATTGCCACAGCTCAAGTGGTAGGGAGAGACCTAAAGGGATGCCCCGATGGGCATGGCCTGGGATGGCCCCTCCTCAAAACCAGGCAGCTGGGACCAGAGTTTTAAGCTCTCTGGGACTTAGGGGGAGGGGGCGGACATCTACAGCTTTTTTCTTTCTTTTTTTTTTTTTAACTTATTCTTAACTGATGAATGTAACTCTGGGGATGCTGGAGCCAGGGCAGTTGTGGGGATGTTTTGACATTTGCAGAAGGGACTAGAGGAACTGAGGCATGGCCATCCCCCGGGCCCTCCCCCGGGATGACCACCCCTGGAACCCTCTCACTGAACACAGCCGTCCCCCAGCCAGGCAGGGGCCTGCATCCTTGCTTGCTTCCTCCTCCTCGCCCTGCTGAGCTTGGAGAGAAGTTCGAGTGCTGATTCAAACCAAAGCTGCCTGTCCCGTGCCCAAGGCTAGGTTATGGGTGCGGCGACCACACGTCCCAGGTTGTCTTCAGTTCTAAAATGACCATCCTGCTGTCCTTGCCAGGACGCATGTATCTGGGGGTCTAAAAATACAGTCCCTGAAACAAAATGGCACATTCCCCCTTTCAAGAAAGGTGAATCTGGGGCTGACTCAGGGTTTAGGTGCCCCCCTGGCATGGCCTAGAGGTCCCAAGCTGGGCCATGCTTCCCAGGGAGGACTCTCCAAAGTAGGGAAGGCCAGAGGTGGCCCAGTGCCTGGAGGGTTAGGGGCTCTGCCTGTGATGTGCATGAGGAGGCAGGACAAGGCAGGTCTCATGTGTAGTTCTCAGCTTCTAGAAAAGTCTTCAAGGCCCTGTCAAACCTTACCCGTTACCCCTATCCCAGGGCCGAGTTTACAGTTTTCCCATTATGTCCTCTGATCCCCACTGCAGTCAAGCCTGAGAGATAGGCTAAGGCTGGGCAGAATTCCTCAGTCCTCCCACAAACACAGTCCTGCCCATAGCCTGTCCTCATGACCCTTGCTTGGGACAGAGGAGCCCTGGCTCCTTGACTGCTGAAGAGTAGCTGGCATGGGCAAGATGGGGGTCAGGCTACCTAAGGATGAAAGCCACAAATGAATGGAGCCCCTCTCCCCAGGGATCCCCCACCCAGGTTCAGCAGGGGTTTCTGCACACCCCAGGGCCTTTGAGCTGCCTGTTTCAGTCCCTCTGCTTCTGGGGCATCTTTGAGGAGGAATCATGGAGGAGATGGCTCCCTGTTTATCTGCACTACCCCTCAGGGCAAAATGGGGACTGAAACCCATTGACATCCTTTTGGAGGGCTCCACCTGGCTACAGTGAGGTCCTCAATGCTGAGCTCCAGCTGTCACTGCCCAAGCGGGGCGGGGGGGAGGGGGAGGGAAGAGATGGGTGGAGTACCACTCTGGCCAGTCCTCCACCAGACCCCCCAAGCTAGGGCAGGGTTAGGAGGACAAGAGCTGGGTTTTGCACTATTGCTGCAATACCTTATGGCGCCCTCTGGTGGTACACGTACGCACAAGTGGCGATGCATCTGGCTCAAGCATTTGGATCCACATCTCTGCACAAATGTGAATACCTCTGCACGCATGGACATGGCTGTGTGTGCGCTCGTGAGGGTGGGGGTGTGGAGAACTCGAGATTTCCTGTGACCAGGCCACTTGGCCCCCAGCTGTCTGCATCCTCCTGCCCTCCCCCTGGCAGCACCCAGGGATGACTGGAGGCTGCATTGGCTTGGTCCTGGAACTGGCTCCATACAGCATCCTGTAAATATGTCATCTGGGGGCTTGGGGTGGGGAGGCAGGGACAAGAACATCAATTAAAGATCATGTCTGGGGGCTCACACCAACCTGTGTATCTCCTTTCTGTAAGTGACAGCACTGTGACTGGAGAACCCTTCCCTGTCCTTGGCCCTGGAGAGAACGTGATGATGGGGTCACTGAAGGCAGAACTGAGCTTTGGGCGTAGTGTTCCATTCATTGCCAGGAAATGGGCGCTGAGTGGGTGGAGGGCCCGGCCCTTCCGCTTTCTCTGATCTCCCAACAAAGCAGAGGGGAGGTGAGATGGAAAGCGGCTTACTAAAAGGCAGAAGACCCGCTTCCGTTTTATGGTTGAAGCCAGAGAGGCCACTCCTCACCTCCCAAGCGATTCCAGGTTGGATAAAACCGCTAATCTGGTCCCCGGGGCACTGTGCTCTGCCCCCTCCCCCCAGAGAGATTTGTTCTTTTCCCACCTCGGCTTCCTCCTGATGCGTCTGGGGCAGGAAGGAGTTGAGCAAGGCTGAGAGCTCCGCCCCGCTTGGAGGCCCATGTTGAGCCAGATAGATATGATTCCTATCTCCCCCTCCCTGGTGCTTTGGGCCTGGGGGTATGTGGCTCTGGGAGTCCTGCTAGTTCAGGGGAGAGATAAGTGGGAAAGCTGGGGACGGGGAATGAAGGAATGAAAGGATAAGAGGAGATACTGGGAGCACGAAATAGCAGCGGGCGGAATGAATCCTGTCCACTGGCAGCTCCAGGGTCATAGCCCCATTCCCATTCAAGGTGGCAGGACCACCTTGGTTCACATGCAGAGTGTAGGTTGCTGGGCAGTGCCCTGGCTCTGGCATCTCAATCGCCCAGGACATCTGGAACGTCTCCCCCACTGCAGACAGTCAGCTTCTTCCCATTCCACTCAAGGAGGAGGCAGCCCAGCTAGAATCACTCTCACCCATCAGTCATGACCTGAAGTCTAGGCTTAGGCGGGAAAACCCTATTTTCAACTTTCCTCATTGCCCCTGCCTGTCAACTCCTCCACCCCCATGCTTACCCCTCATCGGCGCCCAGTCTCATGACCTTCAAACTCAGTCTGATGTGTCATACCGCGGACCCTTAGGTAGTGAAAAGTGTGGCTTTTGGTAGGCAAATGGCAGAGGGCACAGGTGAGGCTCAGCACTCGTGGCTTTTGAAGGTCAGTGCCCTGTTACTCTTGACACCTGTCTCAGCCTTAGGCTGAACTCTGCAGCCACAGGTGTTACCTGCCCAAAGGACAGCCCTCTGGTGCTAGCGCTCCTCCCATCTGCCCAGGCAGAGGGCTCTGTAGGCTCAGATGGAACATCAGATCTGGTTCAGATACTCTGCAAAAGTACTTTGGCTTCAGAACATGTCACAGGCAGTGCTGGCAGAGAGGTTCCCAAAGAGTGTGAAACCAGAACTTTGAGGTTTGCTGCAAAGAACACTTATTGCAAGAATTCACAGGTACCTTTTTTTACAAAGGTAGAAAATCCTTTGATAAGGTCATTACTCCAGGCTGTTTCTTCCTAAACCAGAGCTTGTCTGGTGAGGATTTCTGGATGGATCATGGGTACAAATTCCAAGCGCAGTTCCATTTGTTCAGGCTGATGTGTGGGCCCCCTGGGTGCCCTCATGAGTTAAAGGCAGCCAGGATGGAGAGCTGGGGTCATTAAGCCCACTTTGCCCCTTGCAGGCGCTCAGAGTCCACTTGAGTTGAAGAAGTGACAATACATTCCTTATGGCCCACGCCCATGTCTAGACCTGTGCTGTCCAATAGAACAGAATGTGGCCCACGAATGCAAGATACACATGTAATTGTAAATTTTCTAATAGTCCCATTACAAAAGGAAACAGGTAACGTTATTAGTAATACATTTTTTGAAATCACCCATATCCCAAATCAACATAAAATAATCATTGAGATGTTACATTGGTTTTTTTGTTTGGGGGATTTTTTTTTTCCCACAAAGTCTTTGAAATCAGGAGTGTATTTTGCACTTGAAGCACATCTCAGTTTGGACTAGTCACATTTCAAGTGCTCAGTAGCCACAGGTAGTTGATGGCTACCATATTGGATAGCGTAGGTCTAGACTAGCAGTTCTCAGTCTGTGGGTCGCGACCCCTTTGGGGGTCGAACGACCCTTTCACAGGGGTCGCCTAAGACCATCGGAAAACAAAAAGATATTTACATTATGATTCATAACAGTAGCAAAATTACAGTTACAGAGTAGCAACGAAAATAATTTTATGGTTGGGGGTCACCACAACATGAGGAACTGTATTAAGGGGTCGCGGCATTAGGAAGGTTGAGAACCGCTGGTCTAGACACTAACTGATGCTATTAATTACCATTATCTAAACCCAGGACACTGAAATAAGGTAAAGACAAAAGGGAAGTCACAAACTACAGCAGAAAAGATTTGGATCAGCTGCAGCGAAAAGACCTCATTTAAAGGCAGAGGGAATTGGTGTGCCTTTCTAGAAGGCAAGCTAGGAGCTAGGATGACTTTGGCAGAGAGGTTCCCAAAGAGTGTGGAACCAGAACTTGACCTAGTGAGAGACATAGATGTGCCCTGCCCTGAAAGCGTCTCTGGTCCCCCAGAAACTTGCTGTAGATAAAGTAAGATTTCAACCAACTTTTTCAGAAGGTCAACAGGAGAACAGAGGAAGCCCCTGGTGCTAGGAAGCCTCTTCCTGCCAAAAGGACTTTGTGGGCAAGTCAGTAACGGCTTGAGCTTCAACTTTTGGCCGTTGAAGGGGGAAGATTCTCCTTTTGGGGGAAACCACAGATATATTTAAGGGCTTGAGATCTGCACACCATTTCACACAGGTCCCTGAGGACTTGTCCCCAAACCCAGAAACCCTTGACACCCCTGACCTCGGCTCTAGCACTCATGGGGGTCTCTTCAGGCTTTCTGGTGTTGAAAGTAAAGTCTAGAAGTACATGTAGGTTAGTGCCATGACTCAGACTACTGCTACGATGTCATTTAAGAGGCCTAAGAGATTACAACCTCCAGACCATCCCTGGTGACAACTGAAACGTGCACTGGCAGCCCGTGCAATGATGCAGACGTGCTCAGGAGGGCCCACCATCATCTGAACCTTTGGAACAGAAGTGTCTCCGTGCTCCATGACATCGATGAGCCCATGAAGTCATGAATAATAACATCTTCCCTGCAGAGAGCTGGCAAGAGCCTTCCACTCAGCCACACGCTGCATTCCAGGTCAGCTATTTATAAGGTGACAAGGTGCCACTCAGCCCCCAGAATGCTGACAGAACACACCTAATGCTTGACTACCCTTTGCTCTTGCACAAAGCTCTTCATATGGTCCATCTGACCACGAATGGAGACCAAGCCTGACCCACCCCCTGCATGAAGGGACAAGGATGACACTGTCCAGTATACTCCCTGGCTCCATGCTGCCTCCAGGGCAGCCCCAGCCGCTGTGCTCCATCCTGGAGCGCCCACTGCCTTCTCGGGCAGTGCTTCAGTTGGGCTCTGAAGTGTTAACTGCTGTTCCCCCCACCCCCGGTCCGACCCCTCGTGCACAGTCCTGGCCTTCCGCCACCTGAACCCTTGCCCACTTGGCAGTCTAAGGCTTCCTGACAAGTGTCTGACCGGCTGCCAATCTTTATTCTCCCCAAGAGCCGTCTGCTTCTCCCTGGCAGCTGTAGTGCCCACTTGGGTTTAAAAATAACTCACTGTCTGCCTTTCTCCAGCCTGACCCCAGTAACTCCCTCCAGGTTGAGCCTGATCTTGGCTGCCTCTGAAAATAAGGTGCCACCATCATTCCAGAGGCCACCCCAGGAATATGTCCCAGGGTCTCCACAGAGCATAGACTGTATAAAGTTTGCCCCAGGAAACTCTGTTTTGTCATGAGGCACCTGCCACTTCTCTAATCTGAGGCTCATTCCTGGGTTGAGGATTTAAGCACAAGAACGGGGTGGTGGGAGGCAGGGCTGATCCTAGGGCGAGAGAGACTCCCAGGGGTGCCTAGACTGACGTCATTACCAAACTGCAGTCTCCAACCTCAAATCGGTGCTCACAGCAATGGCTTAGACACACCTGCATTTACCTGGCTGGTGATTCCCCTCTCCCCACCATTTAATTCTACCTCCTTTGCTCCCTAGAAAACTCACCCTATCCTATCCCTTCTCACCCAGATAACCTCTCTGCTCAGTCTGAAACCCTCTTAAGACCGGGGCAGCACCCCATTTGCATTTTTAAATTACATTTTTTGGGGTTACATTAATTAATAACATTACATAAGTTTCATGTGTACAATTCTATAATATGTCACCTGTATACTACATTGTGTGCTCACCACCCATTGTCCCACTTGCATTCTTACTGGTGCTCTTGGGTACTTCCCCCAAGGGTCAATCCCTCCCCTTTACACTGAACCCCAACCTCTCCTACCTTCTGAAGACATCATCCAGCCTCTCCTTGCCATGTCCTTCCCATAACCCAGAATGTTTCCAGCCTTAAAAACAAAAACTGCACCCTGGCCACCCGCCCCACATCTTCACAGCTATGTTTCTTTATAGAATTGCCTGCTCCCACCATCACATTTCCTCACCATTCATCCAGCCCTTGGAGCAAACGCTGGAGGTTGCCAACTCCAAATCCATCTCCTTCTCCATCCCATCATCTGGATCCTGACAACAGCTAGCCCCAC